AGAGTCATTTTACACGAAGAACCTGCCTGCCGTAAGGTGGTACGAAACTAGCACTCATGCACGTCGTATCCTCACCTATGTTCGCAATGACGCCAGATCTTTCTTGGACGACCACTCTGCCCTGGACCGTCGCTACGATATCCAGTGCTACCCGTGGTGGAGTCCTACCATCAACCCTATATTGAGTCAGGTTTTTGTCAATATGATTGGTGTAGTGACAGTAAATTGGCGTTTGGTACTGGCACCGCATATAGCGTTCATAAAAGAGCGTGCAGCTAGAGAGATGAAACTTCATATCCGGCATCCGGATCTAGAGCAGATGCACGACAGAAACATAATAGAACTGGCAACTGCGTTGCAACACACACTAATTACAGAATGAGCTCCACATCAGAAACTGTCGTGTATAGCACCGAGGATAATGTGCAGTACAGGCTGCATGCTGAAATGCGCGGATGTAACAACAAATGGCGTATAAGCATGTCAGAGATGCTACCATACAGTGAGAAAATTCTGTTTATCTGTGATATCTATGGCACTATGAAATACTATCGACAACCAGACCGTTTTGTTTTTGTATCAGCAAACCTAGGCGCCAATTTTTACCTTCGGTCCATGAACTCAGTTGTCGCTAAGTATCAAGAGATGCTTGAAACCAGTGCTACCATAGAAGGTGAGATCACTGAGTTTGTTGGTGTACCACCCCATTCAGCGTTTGTATCATATGAGCACACAACATGTTTGACCCCTGTTGAATCCGCACATTTTTAAAATGTTTTAAAGAAACGGAACTTTGCATCTAGCATATAGAAATCGTATTCTGGGGTTAATACTGCCGCGCTCCGCGGCTTTCCTGGCAAGCATATCCGCATTCTTATTGCCAATGTCAGTAGAATGACCCTTAACATATATAAACTTAGTCTTGCCACCTTTCTCGGTTCTCGAGTCAACTAGCTTATGAATATATTTAATAATTTCTACCCATTCAACACCCTTTCCGGTCGTTGTTATCCAACCGATATCTTCCCATTTCTTCCTGTACGTTGTGATACAGTCAATCGTATATTTTGAGTCAGTGTATATAGAAATGTCATCTGTTCCGAGAGTAGTGCACAGCACGTACAGCACAGCACACAGTTCTGCACGGTTGTTAGTGTTTTTCCCAACTGGAAGTCTCGAACTAAAGTTTAACTTGTGTTCAAGTCCATAGTACACACCTATTCCGCTAGATGCAGTATCCTTTCCGTTATTGATACAGCTTCCATCAGTCCATATTTTCATATATTGGTCCATATTTACATGGTACTCGTAGTGATAAAGCGCAACAGTAGTTGCCATATCACACGAGCATGAACGGTTCGCTATGGTATTCTATACGACATTATTTGAGAAAGCTATCGCAAATGCACCAGACTTTAGATTCGGACTATACGAGCTAATTGATCCGATACACGTATCGATTGTTGAACATCTTATATGGGGCAAGATATCAATGACAGAGAGACAGTGGCACAGATATTTGCATCCACGAAGACTCGTACCAGGATGCGAAGACTGGATCGCTGAGAAAATTGCAAGCGGCCACACTGTTATGCTAGTGGGCAAGGATACAGATCTCCTCATGAAAGGAATTAAGGATCCTGTATGGTACTATAAGATTCGTGATTTTAATGTACCATTATCGGTGTGGCTAGCCCCGGTGAACAAAGACGCGCAAGACTCTAGAACACCCCGTCTACCTAGACGGATAGTGCCGCCACTGAGGTACAATTCGATGTATATACACATGCAAGACAGTTGGCTCTTGTTTGCACCGATGTTTCAGAGCCGGTTAATGCTCTGCGAGATACGTCTCAAGCG